GTGCTTTTTTAGTCCCTAAGCTAGAGCAGTACATTTGCACACGTGGTGACGATTGAGGAAGTATATGATTTGACAGAAGTAAATCGCACTGATGCATTGACAGTTTTCGACATATTTGGTGTGTTACGCCATTGGCAGCTTTAATCATCCTTAATAATTTACCGTTTTCAGATTCAAAAGGAAAAGCATTGTGGGGCCATGATGGACCCCAATTGTCAAGACCTTCTGCCCAGTGACTTCCTGTGTGGACGTTAAAGGTCATGGCTGATTTTGTGTACCACCTTTCCGTATAAAGTGCAAATTGTTGCATTAGGTAATTAATTCGTTCTATATCTGCTCTAATTAAAACAGTTTTTAATGACAAGTAAAATGCTTCTACAAAAAGAGCCCAGTGTTTGAATAATTTTTTTTTTTAAATATAATTCCATAATGGGAAGACTATAATATAATATCCAATTTTCCCATTCCTTTGCTTTCCAGTATGCTCTGTCACTAAGAGGCCTTGTTAAACGCATTGTCTGATGTGGGACTGAAATAAAATTTAATAGCTCGTCTATATTTTTCACATCTTCAGATGACAATGTTTTACCATTAACCCAATATTCAGCAAACCTTTCTGCTATACCTAAACGCGCAAAGTTCATGTCGTCTGGCACAAATCCGTCAATCATTTTAAAATTGTTCAAAGTATTTAAAGGTGAAACGTGTTTCACTCCAAATGCTCGTTCTTTTTTCTTTTTCTTAAAATCTGAAGTATCTTCGAGTACACTGTGATCTTCAGATTCAGATTGATCTGCTTCAACAATATCTTCTGAATTGTAATTTTCTCTGGAGGGATCTTCATGTATAGCCGTTGAGGAGACCGAACTTGATACAAAATTTAAGCACCTCAAAAAGTGTTCTTCAGTTCGTTTTTTTGGTGTCTTTTCCATGACAGAAAATTTAACGCAACCACCGGTTTTTTCATTATTCTTTACGTATTCCCCTGAATGAAGACACCATGAGCATGAATAACGTCCATTATATTGCTTGATGCCTTGCATAGGTGCACGAGCTACGGCATCCACAGAGCAACAAACTGCATAAGGCTTAACTAACTTTATTTCACTTTCTATAATGCATTCTACGCCGGAATCAGATAAATCATTCATGCAGTCAACAAATCCATTTAAAAGAACATTCATATCCGGTTTCGATTTCCCAAACCATAATGCACATACAATAATTTCTTGCGTTCTTTCTGCCAGCGGTATTTCGTTTATGATCAATTGGATTGGATATATTGAGTATTTGCTACTTTCAAAAGTCGGGGCTCCATCACAATTAAAAGTGAATGTAACATAACTTTCTTTTTCATTCGAGGGTAGACTTTCCACAAAATTACGGTACGCTCTACCATCATAAATATCACGATATACGCCTTCTTCATGTAATCTATTTTTCATTACTTGATTGTAATATTTATCGTGTCTTTCTAATAAGGTTTTGATATTATGTTTAACATCAAATGTTGCAAAGAAGTTATTATTGTTCCTACCATTAACAGAAACTATTTTTTGACATATGTTACACTGTTTTTCCCTGTCTGATCGAGCAAAAGTACCAACATAAGAATCACAATATGGACAAATACAATGATATTTTACAAAGTCAGTGGAAAAGAATAGTTTGTCAATAAGATATGAAGTGTTCGGTAAAACGTTTGACGCAAACATACAATTAATGCCTTTAAATAACTCAGTAACTGATGAGTGAGTTAATTCTGCAAAAATTGCGAACTTCAAAAACATTGACAGAAGTTCACCTTCGCTTATAACAATCGGTGTTGTAATAACATTCAAAATTTCAGGTGATTGTAATTTCTTTAACAATTCTCCATGTGCCATATTTTCATCATTTGGGCCTATAGGCAAGTCATTAAATGCATGCATATCTTCATCATCATTAGCAATTTCACCATCTGTAGAATCTTCACTTCCTGACTGTGAATGAGCCTAAAATTTTTTATTATTACTTGTAAGAAAAATGTTTTTATAAATTGGAGAAAATGAAATCTGTTTAAGTGGTAACAATATATGTGTGAAATCTAACCACGTTCTATAACAAATAATAATTGTGCTTTCCGAATAATAGGCCGACTATGGCCAGAGTTGGACCGACCATTGGAAACTTCGAATTTTTTACTCCGGCTACTGCACCTTAACTGACCATTGGCCCGGCTTTGGCAAGAGTCGACCCGACCTTTGGAAATTCTGAATATTAAACTCCGGCTACCGCAGTTTAACCGACCATCGGCCCGACCATTGGAAACTCTAGATTTTAAACTCCGGTTACCGCAGTTTAACCGACCATCGGCCCGGCTTTGGCCAGAATCGTCCCGACCTTGGGAAATTCTAAATTTTAAACTCCCGTTGCCGCTGTTTAACCGACCATTGGAAACTCTAAATTTTGAACTCCGGCTGCCGTAGTTTAATCGGCCCGGCTTTGGCCAGAGTCGACTCGACCTTTGGAAATGTGAGAGCATTTTGCTACCTGGGTTCGCGTTAGGCTATTTTTTTTAATCACCTGCTCTGAATACAAATATGCGAACTGCCAGTTCGGATTTTTACTCAAATTAGTTTTGAGACAATGATCACCTTTAGAATAAACATTTTTATGCACAGAGTTATTTTACATAAAAAACTTTTTGGACGTCTTTTAGACCAGTTATAGAACGTCTTAAGGACTGGTTAAATCGAAGCAATTTTTACATAGATCTTCAATGTAAAAATCGCATCGACTTTGACCTGCCCTGAAAAAAGTTCTTCGGTTAAGTTTATGAGGTAAATGCCTATTAGGTTTCCTTAAGACATCCTTTTAAAATTTTAAAAACGCAATTTTTAGGTTTATATATATATATATATATTGATTTAGTTTAAAAGCATTTTCTGACATCAAAGAAGCAGACTACCGTAAAAATTGTGGGTTTATAATTTTTAATGAAACACGACGCAGTACCTAAATATTTGGATCTTCAATCAACAATGTTGGCGGACTATTAATTTAGATTTAAAAAATAAGTAATTCATGAATCATGATTTACCTCATTTTCATCAAAATTATCTGCGTCGACATCCATCACTTCACAATAATTATTAGTTATAACCTGTGGTATAATATATTATAATTATTATAAATTATATTTCATTTTAGATAATCTTTTTATAAATACGAATATACCCAGGTAGAAATTTGCCTACAAAGTAATAGACTAACCATAAGAAACACTTTAAAAAATCTGTTAAGAAAGTTGTTCTATTTCTTCTTAAGAGTTCATGCCATTTTGTTACCTTTAAAAAAATGATTTTTGTTTTTTCACGGATTTCGAAAGTATAACACGTCAAAAATGTTATATAAAAATTTTAGAAAGTTCCGAGCAGTTTAAATATATATTTTTTTATACACAGTAAAACTCTTTCTTTGCTAATCACTTACTGCTTTCCAAAATAACCGATTTTTAAATAAAAATAGATTAATTTCCTGGCTTTAAAGTGATATGAACCTTCAAATGTGCGAAAACAAATTTTTCACAAGTAGAATAAAAAATGCATTAAAAAATTAAACATTGCTTGCATTTTTGGTGATTTAATCCTAGAACTTGAAGACGAAATCTACATAAAACTAATATTATTTTAAGTTATATAGAAATGTAAGAATCAGTAATTTCAGACTTCGAATCGAACAGTTATAATTATTGTTAATTAATTTTATTTTAGTGATTATCATGATTCAAAAAATTATTTCTAGAAAATATAATTAGAGTAGAAGGGGGTCTTGTAGTGTACTATTTTTTTAAAGACTTCTTTAATCGTAATCCCTTGTAGAATAAATTGGAATTTTTATAACAATTTAGCTCACCGATGTCATATAACGCTGTCCATGGTGCGAGCCACCTCGGTTTGACTAATCTATATATTGGCTGTTAAAGAATTTATGTTACCTGTTTTGACTACAGAAGCGCAGTAGTTGCCATTTGAATTAGAACAATTTAATAAGAATTTAGATACCATACCCGCCGTTCCACCACGCCCTATTTTATTTATTTCTAGTCAGTACTACCAACTTAAAATCGAAGTAAAAAAAACTTCCTCGAAATTGTATGTTTTACAAATGTCAACAGATCGTGTGTAATTAAACTCCACAAAATGGTATGTTTTAAAATAATTTTCTTTAATGGTAGGGGAGGATGGGGCAAGAATAGTTTGGTAAGACGTTTTCGAATCTAGCGACCAAACCTGAATTTGTATCTGCAAACGAGTAGTATTTTTGAAAAGCCTGGTTATTTGGCTAAAATTTTGCTATACATTATTTTGCTGTAGACTGCAATCCCTACGAGATACGAATTAAAAAGTAAAAAAAAATCTCTCTTGCGCTAATCATTTTCTTTTTTTTATTTTAGGGTTCCGTACACGAAGGGGGAACCCTATTAATGAGACTAGTGAAGCAAGGCATGAACCCCCTCTAGCGGCCTCATGAATTTATCTAGAGTGCTGAAATTTTGTACACATATGTATTTTGGCGTGTAGATTACGTGAAAAATATAGCGAATTTCATAGGATTGATTATCATAGCGGTGTCAAGGAAAAACCATTAATTTTTTTGAAAAATCCCTAAAAATGACTATGTACCCCCCTCCCGCTGGTGGCCACATCTTTTCACATCGAGAGCTCAAATTGCGTACACTTATGTATTTTTACGTGAAAATAACAGGAAAAATATAGCGAACATGATTCGGATCAATTTACATAGCGTTGTCAAGAAAAAATCAATTTTAGAGATATTTTTAAATTATTGCACGCTAATTATTGCGACCAGTCAGGTGCACGGAGAGAAATTTCTAGGAATATTTACCGTGCTGCCATCTGAAAGTGAGTGCAAAGTACATTCTGGCAATTTTTACTGTGCTGCCCCTACAATTTTGCATAACAGATTGTAGAGGCAGCACAGTAAAAACTGCCAGAATGTACTTTGCACTCACTTTCAGGTGGCATCACGGTAAATATTCCTAGAAATTTCTCTCCGTGTGGCTTTACCTCAATAGGTTATGCTCATTTCCACAACGTAAAAACTGTTATCTAATCTAAAAGCATAATAAAAAACTTAAAGGAGATTTTAAATTTATTTCTGCTTTTTGTAAAATAGAGTTGTAATGATTAATTTCTTGTATATATGTAATTAAAACATTTTCAATGTTTCTGTTTTAGATAAATAAGATTTATGTATAATATAAAATTTAAATATTAGCTAAATATTCATCAATAGAACAATTCAAAAAAAAATTTACGCAATCAACTTCAGCTACACCTGTACATTTCTAATCTTGAAATATGTTTCGCCTTTCTATTGAGATTTTATATTCATAATGCTTTTTAATTAAAAGTTTGATTTTTTCGAGAGTTGTAGATATATCTATTCGACCTTTTTATGTCCTGTATTTTTTTTAGAAAAGAACCTATACTGTACTAACGGAAAATAATTCCTTTCATTTGCTTAATTAGTAGAGTCAGTGTACTACATTACCCCCTTCTATTCTACCTAACAAATTACAATTTCTACATGGGTAGCTATTATCAAAAATTAATTTTTAACAATATAAAATAATAACTAAAATATTGTACAGAAAACATTATAATTTACCTCGATTTCTTGGTACGACTCTTCATTGAAATCCATGAATTGAATATTATTAGATGCATCCTATAGCATTAGAAGAATGTTACCATGTAATAGTGCGTTATACTATTAATCATAAAGATATAACAGAAATGTAGCGATAAACATAAAGATTATTAAAGTTGAGAATTCAGAATTTTGAATTTTACATGAGTAAAATAAATGGTGAACACATTTCAATCAAATTAAATTTCAATTAAATTTAATTTTTCCAAAAAAAATTAGCGGAGTTATAATGGCAGCTTTTTTTCGCGCATTAAATCTACGTAACAAGAATATATGCATAAGTTCTAACCTAATATTTAATATGTACTATGTACCTAATTAATACTGTGCATAACGTCTTTTTTCAAATTTAACATAACTAAAAAACATAATATAACATAACTATACATCAATATGCACATAAGATACCTGCACGCGTTGTTATCTTGTTATAGTATAATAAAGTATTACCATTATGTTTTATCAAATAAGTTTTTTTATTTAAAAAAAATTAAAATATCATTTTTCAAAGAATAATTTCTTTTATATTCGTTTAAGTTAGATTTTAAACGCGTAAAACGCAAGATATCGATTTGTTTGATATTCCAGATACCGGATTGGCGGTCGGACTTGTATATCACAAATAAAAGAATTACTTCTAAGTAGTATTAGTTTTAATCTTGCAAGTGATACTTTGCAAAAAAGAAATTCTATCTCATAAAAATTCTATAATATTTAAGTAAAAAATTGATGATTGGACCTTATATATGGTCCATTCTAGTGCAGTAATAGATCACTGCTGTATAAAGAAAAATATGTACTCTCCGCGAGACTTTAATTTTAATTAATAATTTTGAGGAATTGGGTTCAGCTCACGACAGTCAACACAATGTTATTTGAACGAAAAAGATTCGACCAACGGCGTAATTGATTGGACCGTTGCGAGTAATACAATTGAGACAAGCTATGTAGGTTAGGAAAAAAGGAATGATCAAACTTATTAATTCGCAGATCGCTAATGAAAAAAAGTTTCATTCCTTATAAATTCATATGAATCAAAGGCGCACAAATTAATAAAACAAACAAGTAAAAAAACTAATCATTTAATAAATAAGAACACGTTTTACACTGAAATAAAAAGATGCGACGCATAAATTAAATTCGAGTAAAGAGTAAGGAGACTTGAATATCTTGTATAGAATTTTACGTTCTCTCTCATTTTGGAAATTGAGCGCGATTATAATAATAACTTTACAGATCCTTCTTGTGGTGTCCGATGACACTCGAATATATAATTCGACTAACGTCAAATGGTCCCTGGAGCTATTAGGCTAGCGCCTGGCGCTATTCATTATGAAATAGGAAAAATCACCAGCATTTTTATCCCAAAAGGAGGAAAACGATTTTGATTGTTACAATACTTATGCACTAAATTATTATCATTATTATCTAAATTGACTTCAAGTAGTTTATACAAAGATACAGAAATAGAAAATAAATTAAATAAAAAAAAGAGTTACATTGTGTATTTTTCTGTAATGTATGTTGAAGCCCAAATAACTAATGTAACTCTTTTTAACGCGAAGATACATAATTATTTTACTTTATATGAATTAAAATATCAATAATATTTTATATATTCAATTATTGCTACATTTCTCTAATTTCTGAGCCTATTTTTTATGTTGAATTGAATCGGAAACATGAAACTTTAAAAAAATTCAAAATTTCGAATAAGTTCGAATAATAACGTTTTAATGATTCTAAAATTCAGAGATTTGATTAGGTAAACACTCAAAATTCTGAACTCTGGATTCAATAAACGTTAAAATTTTTGGACATTTGATGAAATTGATATTCTAACATTAAAAAATTCGATAAGAAGGATATTCAAACTTTTAAACAATCAATTAAATCACTTTCGGATCTTGTAGAATTCAAATTCTAAAAATGTTCATTGTAAATTTCATTTTTATCATTTTTAACTAAACTGGAAATTCAATATGACGACTATCATTTTTGTATGCTATATTAGATCCGCTATTTTCAATTTTAAAAATCTCTCGTAATTTATTAACTAACGATGTATTTATATTTGGATCTTGCATGGGATCCTCTTATATGGTTCCCACAAATGTTCCTTGGAATGAATAGAAAGTGAAATATTTTCCTGTACAGGATTATGCAAGTGTTCCTGTGTAGGAACCTTTGCATGAAATTAATTTTTATAAATTTGTACAGGAAGCTGCAAAGGAACCTTAGTAACTAATGTTTCTGCACATGTTCCTGTACAGGATCCCTGCTCTAATATCCTGCAACAGATCCTAGTGGGATCCTGTGTAGGATTTTTGACAGGATTCCTCACGGAACATTTAAGGATTCTGTACAGGAATTATTAGCTGGGTATTATATCAGGAGTTACAAAAAAAACTCCTGACCTGATGAAACAAATATGTCATCAGATTTGTACCTTTCATCGATTTTTTTATCGTTTTGTTAAGAATATGTTGGCCAATTTTCAATGTTTAAAATGACAAATTCAATGCGACATTAAAATTTTTATATTAAAAATTATAATATGTTCATACTTATTCATTGGTTGATTTTTAGGGTCAATATTTTGAAGCAAATGTTCCATATCTAACAATTGAGATAGTCAAATTGTGTTAATAATTACTCTAAAATTGTAAGGTTATATTTATTCTTTTTCATAATATAAACATTGAAGTAACGGTTTTGAAGGTGTATTCTTATTGATGCAGACCAATAAGGTTTGCCGGAGACTACGCATAGTATCAAATACAATTGATATATATATATATATATATATATAATACTTCATTTAAACAATTTTAAATAATTGAATTTGTTCGATTTTTGACATTTTTACGTGTAAGCTGACTTACTGTTCAATGTCTGAAAAACGAAATATTACAGGTTGTCCAACTTATAATAAACTCCCACATTTATTCGAAATTTTGGAAATTGTATAGTTTCATGCTCCCAAGTAAAATTTGAAAACAAATACTTTTTGAAAGCTCTTACTGTTTTTTAATATCTTTTTCTGTAATTTAGGATACTGGAATCAGGTACATCTTCTTCATCATGGTCTAACCACAATTTATAACCTCTTTTACGTTTGTGTGCCATTTTTCTAAAATACGAAAAATTTTCTAAAATACGACGTCACAAAACACACAAATTTTAAACGACAATATTTCGATAGGAGTTACGAAGACTAAAATAGTTGAATTTCGTTCCGAAAAATAACATAGTTCACATCATTCAATATAGTTGAATAAGAATACTTTTAGTCTCGAGTAGTGCATTAAAATATTTTTTAATTTATCCGGGTTTTTGCCTGAAATGCGAAGAGTATTAGCTTTTTTAGAGAAACAAATTCACTGTGTTAGTCTTTGTAACATCTTGTACGATCTATGGTTTTAGTATTTTATATTATTTTATGACTTTAAACAGATAGGACGGGGAATGTAGTTTGTTATGACCTGCATACTATTTAAATCAGCCAAATATTCTAGAATTGCAGCTACGAGTATGTAGTCGACTCAAACAACAAGACATGCTGACGAAGTAGCGTATGTAGTCTAATTATCAGCGTATCCACGCTGTACAAATTAACTGCATACTAATAGTTGCCCAATTTTCACTAATTTTAATTCACCGAGTAATACCGACAGACCCTAATAGAATAAAATAGATCTGAAAATTCCTCCTAAAATTCAACTTGCAGACCCAGAATTTCACAAACCATCGACAATCGACATTCTGATAGGTGCAGAAATTTTCTTAAAATTATTACGCGTAGGACAAATATCGTTAGCAAGTGATGAAGTCACTCTCCAAAACACATTTTTTGGGTGGATTGTAGGTGGAAAGACTTCTGATATATCGTTTCCCAATGTTGCCAAGTGCAACTTATCTTTGAATAAAATTCACAAAAAAATCAGTGATTTTTGGGAAATCGAAAACGGCCCTACCGAAAAAATTCTATCGACCGAGGAAAATGCGTGTGAAGCTCACTATCAAAAAACGACTACTCGCGATTTGGAATCTGGGAAATATATCGTCAGATACCCTTTTAAAAATGATTTAATCGGTCTCGGTGAATCTCACAGCTCAGCTCTTAGGCGTTTTAATTCTCTCGAACAATCGTTTTATAAAAATCCAGAGCTCAAAAGCATGTATATAACTTTTATCAGAGAATATATAGGCCTGGGTCACATGTCCGAAGACGAATCTCAATCTACCCTCGACGGTTATTTTATACCTCATCTAGCCGTGTTAAAACAATCGAGTTTAACGACAAAACTCAGAACTGTCTTCGACGCCTCAGCGAAAACGTCAAACGGAAAATCGCTCAATGACATTCTCATGGTCGGTCCAAATATACAAGAAGACATTTTTTCCTTGCTTGTTCGTTTCCGCTCCCACAAATTTGCGTTAACGGCCGACATTGAGAAAATGTATCGGCAAGTTTTGTTGCATGAAAACGATCAAAAATTCCAGAGAATTTTGTGGCGAGAAAATTCTAACGAGCCTATAAAAATCTTCAAATTAAAAACCGTGACGTACGGTACCTCTCCCGCTTCATTTTTAGCCACTAGAACTCTCGTACAATTAGCGAAAGACGAGGCTATCTCGCACCCGTTTGCATTCACTGCACTAACCGAAAATTTTTATATGGACGATTGTTTAACGGGCGGTCAAACTTTCGAGGAAACAAAACAAATGGTCGATGAATTAATTCATGTCACTCGCAAGGGCGGTATGAACATAAGACAATGGGCTTCCAACGAACCAGAGCTTATCAACTTCTTATCGACAGAATCCGATGATTCATATATTTGTTTAAATTTAGATGACAAAATGAAAACTCTCGGTGTTTATTGGAATCCCCGTCCAGATACCTTTGTTTATGCGGTCAAAAATTCTAACGTAAATGCACCCGTAACTAAGCGGACAATTTTATCGGAAACAGCGCAACTATTCGACCCCCTCGGATTACTCGGCCCTGTCATTTTACAGCCGAAAATTATAATGCAATCTCTGTGGCAATTAAACATAAATTGGGACGAAGAAGTTCCTCGCGAAATAGCTACGTCATGGCTAGAACTTAGAGAGCAAATGTCACTTTATCTAAAATCACAATCAAACGAAAAATAATTGCGGATGATTTTGCATCTCTTCAAATACACGGCTTTTGTGATGCTAGCGAAAAAGCATACGGAGCCTGTATTTATCTTCGCTCGACTGATAAAGATCAAGTGCATACAACTCAAATAATTTGCTCGAAATCTAGAGTTGCGCCTTTAAAAACCGTATCGTTACCGCGCTTGGAACTTTGCGCGGCTGTTTTATTGTCGAAAATTTATACCACAGTTTTCCGTGCCTTGCGTAGAATCAAATTTGAAAAAACTATACTCTGGTCTGATTCGACCATCGCATTACATTGGATAAAAAGTCCTTCAAATACTTTACAAACATTTGTAGGAAATCGTGTTCAAGAAATTCAAAATTTGACTCAATCTCTAGAATGGCGCCACGTACGTACCGAGCAAAATCCAGCGGATCTTATCTCGCGCGGCCTCTCACCAAAAGAATTAATCTCAAACTCCTTTTGGTTTCACGGTCCCATTTGGTTAAAAGACAATGAATAAAATTGGCCTGCATCTTTTTTGGAACCTATTGAAATTCCAGAACAAAAAAAGAAAGAAACTTGCTTAGCAACTAACGTAAAACAAGTTAACGAATTTGCTAATCTTTTGTTTTCAAATTTTGAATCCTTTGACAAATTGATTCGCTCCGTTGCCTATTGGCGGCGATTCGTTGATTTTAAAATTCGAAAACAAATTGTGAAGGGTCCAATTTCTTCCACTGAACTAAAAGAATCCACTACTTATGTAATAAAGTTATTACAACGCGGAGAATTTTCAAACGAAATCAAATCACTCGACTCGAAAAAACAAGTCGAAGGGCGTCTCACTCCGCTAGCCCCTTTTTTAGACTCTGACGGGATTCTCAGAGTTGGAGGCAGATTAAAACAGTCTGACCTTCATTTTTCTCAAAAACACCCTATTTTGTTACCACAAAATCATAAATTGACAATGGTCATTGTTCGCGATCAGCATTTAAAGTCATTACATGCCGGTGCTCAAGCAACACTCAACTCAATTCGGAATTCGTTCTGGATTGTTAATGGAAAAACGATTGTAAAAAACGTAATACGAAAATGCGTAACTTGCTGCCGCGGTGGTGCCGTAATTTTCCCCAAATCTCAAATGTCATAATATTCATTTGACATAAAACCAGTTGACATAACCAATATTTGTCATAATTTTTTTGGTCATAATTTTACTTTAGCATAAATTTTAATTGACATACTAATTATTCAGCATAATTCGCATTTGACAGAATGTTTATTTAGTATAAGTTATATTCGGTATAACTTTCAATTGTCAAAATTTTTATTTGGCATAATATACATTTGTCATAATCTTTATTTGACATAATTTTCATTGATCATAATTTTAATTTGGCATAATTATCATTCATCATAAAATGTATTTGATATAATGTTCATTCGTCATAACTACTTTTTGACATAATATTTATTGGTAATAATTCTTAACTGGTATAACGCTAATTTAACATAATGACTATTGGACATAATGCTCATTTTTCATAATTCTTAATAATCATAACTGTCATTTGTAATAATCACTGTTTGATATAATGTTTATTATTAATAATCAGCAATTGACATAACGCTTATTTAGTATAATGTGTATTTGACATAATGTTCATTTGTCATAATTTGCATTTCACAAAATGCTCATTTGTCATAATTCTTATTAGTCATAACTTTCATTTGTCATAATTTTTATTTGGCATAATTATCATTTAGTATAAAATATATTTGATATAATGTTTATTCGTCACATCGATTGTTTAATATAATTTTCATTTATAATAATTCTTAATTGGCAGAAATTCAATTTAACATAATTGTTATTTGATATAATGTTAATTTGTCATAATTTACAATTCTCATAATGCTCATTTGTCATAATTCTTATTAGTCATAACTGTTATTTGTCATAATTACTGATTGACATAATGTTAACTTTTTATAATAAGCACTTGACATAATGTTCATTGTTCATAATTTTTATTTGTCATAAATATCATGCAGTATAAAATGTACTTGATATAATGTTCATTTGTCATAACTATTTTATGACATAATGTTTATTTGTAATAATTTTTAATTGGTATAACACTAAATTAGTATAATGTGTATTTGACATACTGTTCATTTGTCATAATTTTCATTTGACATAATTCCCATTTGTCATAACTTTATGTGTCAACGATTTTTTGCTGTATCTTCCCATCCTTGGTTTTTTAATTAGTAGTTTGTATATGTTGGTAAAGTAGATTAGGTGGCGCTGTCTAATATTTCTGAAATTAATTCTATCTTGCTTTTAAATATGAAAAATTACTTTTTTTTCCAAGTTACAATTTTAATATTGTACAATTCAATTACATTTTTTTAAAAATAATATGACAATTCATATTAATAATGATGACATTAAAAAATTGTACAATATTAAAATTGTAATTTTCACATTTAAAAGCAAGATAGAATTAATTTCAGAAATATTAGACAGCGCCACCTAATCTACTTTACCAACATATACAAACTACTAATTAAAAAACCAAGGATGGGAAGATACAGCAAAAAATCGTTGACACATAAAGTTATGACAAATGGGAATTATGTCAAATGAAAATTATGACAAATGAACAGTATGTCAAATACACATTATACTAATTTAGTGTTATACCAATTAAAAATTATTACAAATAAACATTATGTCATAAAATAGTTATGACAAATGAACATTATATCAAGTACATTTTATACTGCATGATATTTATGACAAATAAAAATTATGAACAATGAACATTATGTCAAATTAAAATTATGTCTAATGAACATTATGTCAAACTTAAATTATGCGAAATAAACATTATGTCAAGTGCTTATTATAAAAAGTTAACATTATGTCAATCAGTAATTATGACAAATAACAGTTATGACTAATAAGAATTATGACAAATGAGCATTATGAGAATTGTAAATTATGACAAATTAACATTATATCAAATAACAATTATGTTAAATTGAATTTATGCCAATTAAGAATTATTATAAATGAAAATTATATTAAACAATCGATGTGACGAATAAACATTATATCAAATATATTTTATACTAAATGATAATTATGCCAAATAAAAATTATGACAAATGAAAGTTATGACTAATAAGAATTATGACAAATGAGCATTTTGTGAAATGCAAATTATGACAAATGAACATTATGTCAAATACACATTATACTAAATAAGCGTTATGTCAATTGCTGATTATTAATAATAAACATTATATCAAACAGTGATTATTACAAATGACAGTTATGATTATTAAGAATTATGAAAAATGAGCATTATGTCCAATAGTCATTATGTTAAATTAGCGTTATACCAGTTAAGAATTATTACCAATAAATATTATGTCAAAAAGTAGTTATGACGAATGAACATTATATCAAATACATTTTATGATGAATGATAATTATGCCAAATTAAAATTATGATCAATGAAAATTATGTCAAATAAAGATTATGACAAATGTATATTATGCCAAATAAAAATTTTGACAATTGAAAGTTATACCGAATATAACTTATACTAAATAAACATTCTGTCAAATGCGAATTATGCTGAATAATTAGTATGTCAATTAAAATTTATGCTAAAGTAAAATTATGACCAAAAAAATTATGACAAATATTGGTTATGTCAACTGGTTTTATGTCAAATGAATATTATGACATTTGAGATTTGGGGAAAATTACGGCACCACCTGCCGCGCCAAGCCTCAGACTCCCACTTACCTAATGGGAGATTTACCGAAAAATAGAGTTGTTTTTGAAAAAGCCTTTCTTCAAACAGGTGTCGATTATTGCGGTCCCTTTTACATATCCGGAGAGAAAACTTCGGAACCGAAACAAAGTTAAAATCTATGTCGCTGTATTTGTGTGTTTCGCTACGAAAGCAGTGCACATTGAGGTGGTCAGTGATTTGACAACTGAAGCATTCTTAGCCTGTTTGAGTAGATTTTTTTCCAGACGCGGAAAGTGTACAGATCTTTATTCCGACAACGGCAAGAATTTTGTTGGTGCTAAGAACGAAATTAACGATATAACAGGCGTGCCAGAACACAGTTTGATGCACCTTCCGTCAAATCGATTATCTTCTTGGCAGAAAGTGCAGCAAATTAAACAGCATTTCTGGTCTCGGTGGAACAGAGAGTATTTGCATGAGTTGACTGTACGAAAAAGGTGGCACAAAGGTTCCACTTCAGAAATGAAAATCGGTAAACTTGTAACGATTCGTGACGACAACCTCCCTCCTATGAGATGGACAATCGGTCGAATTATCGCCACTCATCCAGGAGAAGATAATGTTATCCGTGTAGTAACAGTAAAAACCGCATATGGCGAGTATAAACGTAGCATAAAAAATTTATCACCTTTGCCTATCGAATCTGACTAACTAATTTCAATTTAAATCGAACAAAAATTATTTTTGTTTGTAAGTGATTCAAATTCAATGCATGTAAATTGTCGACTATATAACTATCGTTTATTAAGTGACGAAACTAAATGTCATATTAATTGCTACCGCAATGTGTTTAATTTTCTTAGAACATAATTGTTCAAGGGGGCCGGCATATGTTGAGTCCCAAGCTCAGTTTTTTTTATGAGTTTAACATTTTATTCCGAAAACGTGACTATCTCAACTTTCTCAGGATTATTCCTTTATTTCTTTATTTTTTTATTAGGTTTCAAACTAGCCTTAAAAATCTCGAGATCTTCTCAATAACTTGTCAATGCATTCTTTGTTATCGATACGAATCTTCGAAACTTTTGTGAACTACGATTTTATTGCTTGTAAACGAATTACTATCAAGCGTAATGGCAGTCGGTCGACCTTGGTCCTAATCCCTTAGATGCTCGTCCACTCCTTAATGACAGTACCCCTTACCTGGTTTTCTCGCCATATTTCCGCAAACAGAATATGACCACACCTA